ATCTATCTATCTATCTATCTATCTATCTATCTATCTATCTATCTATCATCTCTCTCTCTCTCCCTCTCTCTATCTACCTACCTATTTACTATCGAACATCCTCTACCTACCTACCTACCTACCTACCTACCTACCTACCTACCTACCTATCCATCTATTATTGATTTATCCATCCATTCTATGATATCCACCCTCTCTCTCATCAATCTACCTACTATCTATTCTATTATCTTGTCGGTCTGTCTACCTAACCACCTATCTTTCTATCATCTGAAGTAGCTGCTTCCCAATGTCCTCTCTAGGCATCAGCTCCCAAGTTGGAATTTTTTTTTTAAAAAAAACACACCATTTCCACCATGCTCCTGAACTTGAAATAAAGTTGACGCAGGCTGAAATCTCCAGAGCCTGCTGTTGTTTACAGACCAACAAACTCTCCAGAGCTTTGTAGTGGATTTCTCGTTTTCCCCCAAGCCAGATCGAAGATGAATTTTAACTTTCTTTTTCTTTTTTTTCCGTCCACAACCTCTGTTCAGCCAGGAAGCCATGGCTTTGGGGGGGGCCTCAAACGGCAGGACTGGGCTGTTCCCACTCTCTCAAATCTCCCCCCTCCTGCTATGACAGGTGCGCATCCACCTGGACTGCTGGAGAACTCTGGCAAGCAAGCATTTCGGTGGACAAACTGTTGCAATCTGATGCGCTTTGCTGGGGAAAAAAAAGGAACGTGAGGGCCCTTTGCCAACTGGTAAACAAAACCTGTGAGCAGGATGTGCTCCAGTGTTGTGTAGGTGCGTGTGTGGAGTGTGTGTGTGTGTGTGTGGGGAGGGGTGTTGCCTAAGCTCTGAGGCTAGGAAGGGAGGGAGGGAGGGGGAACACGAGGGGTTGACCCAGCCGCATTAATCTCCGTCCACAAGCAAGCTTTGCACAGAATCAGCCAGAGTGTAATCTCGCTGCTCCCCTCTTCCAGGTGCTATCCTGCCCCGGTTCCTGAGAAGACCTACCTTCTGCCTTCTGGAGGTAAGTGAGGACAAGTTTTCTTCTCCTTCTTTTTGGGGGAAAATGTCTTTCTTGTCTTTCTTCTCCTGTTTCTTCTGCTTTTTCCTTTCTTTGAGATATTCTAGTACTCTTTAGGTACATGTTGTCGTCGTCCTCCTCCTCCTCCCTCTTCCTAGTTCTTCTTCTTCTTCTTCTTCTTCTTCTTCTTCTTCTTCTTCTTCTT